ATGCCAAAATTAAACTCACACACTGCCCAATAAGGGGTCAGAATGAGAAACTGGTTGAGGGTGGCAGGTAGAGAGCAGTGGAGAAGAAATGGTAGAAGAGGGGAGAGAGAGAGAGAGAGAGAGAGAGAGAGAGAGAGAGAGAGAGAGAGAGGCTGAGGGATTGATCACCTCCAATTACTCCTTCACGTCTTCCACTGTTTCCAGTAAGTATTCTCCATAGTGAATTTATAAAGCCACAGTAGAGACACCCAAGTTCTGCACTCGCATCTTATTCACTTAAACACTGAAAAAAACTTTGGAAAGTGATCATCGCCTCCTCGCCCGAGTCTCAGATCACTGGTTCTGCGCAAGTACTCTGTACTGACTTTCACTAAGTTACACCGGCTTATCGTAAGGACAAAACCACTTAGTAGGACTTCACGTAATTCCTTCCTCGAGATGAAGTTTCCTCAGATGAGAATTTTCAGGAAAAGAGTTTTCGAGGAACTGAAATATCTCGTTAAGCTTAAGCATCCCGGGAGGTACACTGTGGAGAAATTTGACAGTGGAGTACCAGAGGCATCAACCAGTCAACTACACATGCTCATACTCAAACAAAATAATTAGATTGTCCTTCAATTTTTAATTATATTGAAGATTTCAAGCACATGGACTAAATCTTTTAACAAAAAGAGAAACATGGGAGATTTCCTGAACTCTTGATGGCATCCAGTTATGAAACAGATGGATGTGAAAACGAAGCCAGTGTCAGACGAACGAACACTGCCTACGGCTCACGGCTAACAGGGTGTAAGGATAAAGCAATATTTCCATTAGCCTGTTTGCCAGCGGGCTCAACTTTTGAAGCAATATTGGCTTATTAAGTAGGAGTTTTATCTCAAGTTAGTTTGTCGCGCCGTATTATTATTTATTATTATTAAAGATTCACCGGCATTCTTCCGGCCCGGGCCTTTTCCAAGTGGTGGCCCAGCCTTGGCTCCCTCTTTAGGGAGTGTCTGAGACCTAAGTCTCCCATAGGAGGAGGCACAAGTACCTCCTCATCTTTGGGACCAAGTGTCCCCAGGCCTAGCCACAAGCTAGGCCTCTCTGGTCTGCCATCCCCTCCCCAAGGGGGCTAATGAAAATGACAGTCTTGTGAGCTGTAAGCTCTGGCTCAGGCACCTACCCTACCCTAGAAGGGTTAGAAATGGTGTCGATGTCGCACTGTAGAATTTGAAACTACAAGAACTTCGTCGCTCCCTGTAAATATTACATTCGGCATTGATTATATTATTATATGACTATTTTAATGGAAAATAAATTATTATTACGGTTATTACTATTACTATTATTATTTTATTATTACTGTTTTTATTATTATCATCATTATTATTATTATAACACTAAAACCAGTAAACGTGATACGTATAGTTACTGGACTATATGTGGCACATGTATGTAGAATAGTGGGGGTCACTGATCGCTTCTTAATAATACAAAATAAGTTGAACAGGCAGAGCGAGAGGATTAATCTCTGGGCCGAAGTTGTCGAGGGTCTCACCTGGCAGACGTTAACTATCAAAATATTGGACTGTCAAATACGAAAGCCAAGAGACTGGTGCAACTTAAGTTGGACCAGGTGAAGCAAAGTTAGTACAAAGTTGCAGGAACCAGACTAAGCTTAATTGTTCAAGTATGTCACTGTTTGTGAGAGGTAGTGGCATACCTGAACAATTAGCAATTGTACAAGCTTATTAATTGTACAATCTTATTAATTGTACAAGATTATTAATTGTACAAGCTCATCAACTGTTTCCAACAAGATATATATAAAGTTGACACCTATGCAAGGTCAGGTAACTCTAATATGAAACTCATCGCCCACCAGAGGGCTTGAATCAACAGCACTTCACAGACAGGAAAAAAATAGTGCTATATATAGCGGTGCGAGGGTCAGATGTAGCGTAGGAGGGATGCTGCTTCATCGTGTTAGTGACGTTCCTCTCGTGGATTATAATCAACTGAAGATCTGGAGATCCTGAAGCTGCTTGTGTTCCGTTAAACTGTATTAACAGGGTGTGGGAGAAGACATACAATTGTAAAATTGATTAAAGATAAAGTTTTGCCACGAGTGACTTCTGTATTTTTGGTCATTGTATCGTGTTTTCTGACATATAAGGCGCACGATTATGTGAGACATACAAGACGTTGTTTGCAGGCAGTTATAATGTATGTAACGTTAGTAAACACCTGCTGAAGCGTAACCCTTGACTCTGTCCTTGAGCATATAAGGCGCAGGGTGACTATCCTGCGCGTATATTTGAACATTTGTGTCCTGCATCAAATATTCAGCCAAGAATTGTTAGCCACAGTGCCTAAGAGAGTTGTTTCTCCACTTCATCAAGAGGTTGTGGTTTTTTTGTGTAAAAACTCGAACATCGGAGCTACTGTCAGGATGGTAGAAGCAGCTGAGCTCATTGGATGTATGTGTCTAGCTCTCTCTCTCTCTCTCTCTCTCTCTCTCTCTCTCTCTCCCTCTGTCTAACTTTCTCTAGCTCTCTTTCACTCGTCTTAATAAACTTAAATGTAACATGCACTATGTAAAAAGCACAACCATGAGACATATATTGCTGAAAACAGAACAGAACTTACATTGACAGGAAATATGTAGCATTGAAAGCGTCAGCAGCGTGATTATAAGAACATATATACGAGATACTTGTATCGTACTGGAACTCCCCGGCGGGTCTTACAGAGCCAGCGGAACGAGAGGTAATCAGGTCTGACTAAACGGAGAGGAGGGTGGCTCCAGTTACCCGGATGAAGAGCCCTTTACAAGGACACACACATCGCTGAAAGTATTAAAGATTTGAATATTTCCTAGTATATATGAATACTAGCGACTATATTAGTATATATGTATACTAGCGTATGATAAATTAGACACATTTGCAGCACTTTGGAAACGTTTCGTCAAGTAATGGCTTCCTCACTTCGGTACAGAGAAGAATTGTTGTGGATCAAACGGCGTTTGAGGAAATCAGTCCCTCAGCCCGGAGTCGATGTGATCAGTCCATGAATTTTGATAAGAGTACAGCATATGCGCGAAGGAGGGGCTTATATACTGCAGACAGGTGAGGAGAAGCAGTTGTAGGCGGTGCCACCATGGGAAAAATCCACGGTGTTACCATGGTAAAATCTACGGTGTACCATGGAAAAATCCACCTGTGGATTCTTCCATGGTGACGCCGCCTACTACTGATTCTTCTCCTAACCTGTCTGAGGTATATAATCTCCTCCTCGTCGGTGCATATACTGTGATCTTATCAAGATTCATGACTGATTCCATCTACTCCAGGCTGAGGGACTGACTGCCTCAAACGCCTTTTGATCTTAAGCCAGTCTTCTCTGTATTGAACCGAGGAAGCCACTAGTGTTGCACATATGTCTAATTTATCAACTTGTTAGTTCTCCGAACCATTTATCTACATACTAGCGCATATATCTAGTATATATGTGTACTAGCGTATGTACTTGTATATATGTATACTAGCGTATGATACTAGTATATATACTAGACTTTCCTTCAAAGTCTACCATCAACACCCAGGTTGACTTCCAATAACTTGTTATTCTCTGATTTTATTTAACTTTCGTTTGTCTTTGCTTACCTTTGTTTATCTTTGTGTATCGTTGTATATCTTTGTATATCTTCGTGTGTCCTTGTATATCTTGGAATATATATTTCTTTTTCATGCCTGTGAAAACATGAATATATTTGTATATCTTTGCATATTTTGTATATACCACAGTATATCTATGCTCATTTTTATACATTAAATATTTTGGTGAATAATTTGTTGAGGATCAACAAATTGTATCTTTTATGTATCATTACATATATTTTGTATCTTCGTATAACACGGTATATCTTTGCATATCTTTGGATATCTTCGTATATATGTGTCAATCTTTTTTTAGTTGTAGCCGGAGACAGTATTCCAGTGGCAATAAAAAGTCTTGAGAAGCAGAAAGAATGTCAGTATTTTGTCTAGGAGATAGGTCAGGTGATAGCAGGAGCTGGAGGCACGGAGGAGGCGCTGAAGGAGGTAGGTCAGGTGATAACAGAAGTTGGAGGCACGGAGGAGCTGCTGCAGGACGCGGTGCAGGAGGTAGGTCGGTGTCTGCAGAAGGTGCTGCAGGTGGTAGGTCAGGTGCCTGCAGGAGGTGATGCATGTGGTAGGCAAGTGTCTGCAGAAGGTGCTGCAGGTAGTAGGTCAGGTGTCTGCAAATGCTGCAGGTAGTAGGTCAGGTATCTGCAGGAGGCAGATAATGTGACAGCAGCACCGAGAAGGAAGAGGAAGCTAACACGATGAACTGCTGTACAAAAACCTCAGTAGAGGAAGACACTACACGCTGTATATACGCTGCTGCTGCTCTCAGGGTATATACACAGAAATAAATCCGTCAGAATATATACAACTACTCTTGTAAGTTGCTAAACCTTTTTTTTGCATCCGATCTCTGCAAAACTGCAAGGTCGGGAGTGTGCATCATATTATGTATAAAGAAGCAAGACGAGCGGGGAAAATGCATTTCATGGCTCGAGACTAAAAATAACATGGTTACATCTTGATGCTTCTTGGATAACACTGGCGAGTCTTCATAGTTGCCAAGGTTTACGTTAAGACGAATAAAAAATGCTGAATTTTGAGGAAAAAAAAATTAATTCTACTTCCACTGGCCTTTACCAACATACTTTTCATAAGGAAAAATTTTTTTTTAAATAGTAAGTTACAGATTTATCTTAATATATTTTCTAAATATTCACATTCAAACCTTTAAAAATAAATATTATTATACTTGCTCACAGTTTTCAGTTATTATTAGTAGGAATTTTTTATTTTTGATTGTAAAAGTTAGTCATAGTTAAGTACAGAATCGCTGGATACTGCAGGTTAGGACATGAATAACTAAAGCTTTGTATTTACTGGACGTAGCTGCACCTGGCATCTCTTCTCACATGTGCCACACTCTGCTCTCACTCGTCCACAAAACCTGATATTACTCGTACTTTCTCTCCTGACATCGATCCACTTCTTTGTCAACCCTTCAATAAAATATCAGTCATCATGTTCCTGTCCACTCAGTTAAGCAAGAGGCGAAATAAGGAAAAAATAGACCTTTGTTATCATCGAAGTGGGAATAGCAGAGCTGCTGGCCGCCATATTGATCTCTGGTTGCTATAGCAGTAGTGTAAACATAACCCGCAGCGAGGAGCCACTATGTGAGTTCTCTTACATGATTTTTCGTTCTTTGAGGAGAAATACGAAATGTTCTCGTGTCTGGCATAGACCACGAGGAGCCAGGGCGTCTTGCGAGGCATAGGAGGTGCCAAGAAACTATGCCCGAACTCTGTTTCTATCCTCATCTTGACTGTGAGTAGTGCCATGACCTCAGTTGTGTCTGTGATGACGGATGCTGTAGTGTATCTTCATGACTTGCTGCCGTGTGTAGCATTTGCAGAAGTCACTAGATCAGAAAGATGATAGTCTCTGAGGTGTGCATCAGTGTGTAGCTCAGGAAGATGATAGTGTCAGAAGTGCAGCAGTCGCTAGGCCAAGATGATAGTATCATAAGTGCAGCAGTCGATATGTGAAGAAGATGATAGTGTCAGAAGTGCAGCAGTCCCTATGCTAGGAAGATGATAGTGTCAGAACTGCAGCAGTCGCTAGGCCAAGATGATAGTGTCATAAGTGCAGCAGTCGATATGTCAGGAAGATGATAGTGTCAGATGTGCAGCAGTGTGTAGCTCAGGAAACTGATAGTGTCAGATGTGCACCAGTCGCTAGGCCAAGATGATAGTTCAGAAGTGCAGCAGTCGATATGTCAGGAAGATGACAGTGTCAGAAGTGCAGCAGTCGATATGTCAGGAAGATGACAGTGTCAGAAGTGCAGCAGTCCCTATGCTAGGAAGATGATAGTGTCAGAACTGCAGCAGTCGCTAGGCCAAGATGATAGTGTCAGATGTGCAGCAGTCGCTAGGCCAAGATGATAGTTTCAGAAGTGCAGCAGTCGATATGTCAGGAAGATGACAGTGTCAGAAGTGCAGCAGTCCCTATGCTAGGAAGATGATAGTGTCAGAACTGCAGCAGTCGCTAGGCCAAGATGATAGTGTCAGATGTGCAGCAGTCGCTAGGCCAAGATGATAGTGTCAGATGTGCAGCAGTCGCTAGGCCAGGAAGATGAGGGTCTCCGACATGGGCAGAAATAACTAGATCAGGAATATTATAGTCTGCAACGTGCAGCAGTCGCTAGCTCAGGAAGATGATAGTCTCGAAAATGCAGCAATAAATAGGTCAGCAAGATCATAATCTAACAAAAGGCATCGCACAGATAATGTCCAGGTTTGAGTGGCGCTAACGAGCTACAACTGCCATTTACTGCTGATGCTGGACATTTTTTGTCGTGTTTGGTGTATTTTTTGGTGTGTTAAAGTGCAACTCGACATGGCTGTTGGTTCTTGTATGGGGAGCGTCTTCTGGAGCCAGTATTATCTTACAAATGAAGTGCTGAAATTTCAGGCCATACTAATCTATTTTAATACCTTATCAAAGACGGAATATGCACAGTCAAGTTCATATCTCCGGGGTGTTTTAAAGAGTTAGGTTGATGTTGTTGGTTACTGCCAGACACTTGCATGCAAGACACGTAAGACACTCTAGGTAAAATTACTGAGGAGACTTTTCGCTCACCACGGGGGGGGGGGGTCGCTAAGCCCTGTGATGAAAGAAAGCCATGAAGCCATAAGAATGACGAATGGTAGGAAAAAACTCATAGATCTCTCTCTCTCTCTCTCTCTCCTCTCTCTCTCTCTCTCTCTCTCTCTCTCTCTCTCTCTCTCTCTCTCTCCATTTTTAAAGTTAATTTTATTTATTAATATTAGATGGAATAACTGTTGGACGATTAAAAAATATTTTTTTTTTCTAACAGATACAACGGCTGCATTGATTCATGGTACTTGAAAAATTTATTTTTCCTCTAGTGACATTCTACGCTTAAATTCCCTAGTGAAATTGTACAATAATTTCTCTAGTGAAATTGTACAATAATTTCTCTAGTGGAATTGTACAATAATTTCTCTAGTGAAATTGTACAATAATTTCTCTAGTGGAATTGTACAATAATTTCTCTAGTGAAATTGTACAATAATTTCTCTAGTGAAATTGTACAATAATTTCTCTAGTGAAATTGTACAATAATTTCTCTAGTGAAATTGTACAATAATTTCTCTAGTGGAATTGTACAATAATTTCTCTAGTGAAATTGTACAAAATTTCTCTAGTGAAATTGTACAATAATTTCTCTAGTGGAATTGTACAATAATTTCTCTAGTGAAATTGTAACAATAATTTCTCTAGTGAAATTGTACAATAATTTCTCTAGTGAAATTATACAATAATTTCTCTAGTGAAATTGTACAATAATTTATCTAGTGCAATTGTACAATAATTTCCCTAGTGGAATTGTACAATAATTTATCTAGTGGAATTGTACAATAATTTCCCTAGTGGAATTGTACAATAATTTATCTAGTGGAATTGTACAATAATTTCCCTTGTGAAATTGTACAATAATTTCTCTAGTGGAATTGTACAATAATTTATCTAGTGGAATTGTACAATAATTTCCCTTGTGAAATTGTACAATAATTTCTCTAGTGAAATTGTGCAATAATTTCCCTGGTGAAATTGCACAATAATTTCTCTAGTGAAATTGTACAATAATTTCCCTGGTGAAATTGTACAATAATTTCTCTAGTGAAATTGTACAATAATTTCCCTGGTGAAATTGTACAATAATTTCCCTAGTGGAATTGTACAATAATTTCCCTGGTGAAATTGTACAATAATTTCTCTAGTGGAATTGTACAATAATTTATCTAGTGGAATTGTACAATAATTTCCCTGTGGAAATGTACAAATAATTTCTCTAGTGAAATTGTGCAATAATTTCCCTGGTGAAATTGTACAATAATTTCCTAGTGAAATTGTACAATAATTTCTCTGGTGAAATTGTACAATAATTTCCCTAGTGGAATTGTACAATAATTTCCCTGGTGAAATTGTACAATAATTTCTCTAGTGAAATTGTACAATAATTTCCCTGGTGAAATTGTACAATAAATTTCCCTAGTGGAATTGTACAATAATTTCCCTGGTGAAATTGTACATAATTCTCTAGTGAAATTGTACAATAATTTTCCTGGTGAAATTGTACAATAATTTCTCTAGTGAATTGTACAATAATTTCTCTAGTGTAATTGTACAATAATTTAACTAGTGAAATTGTACAATAATTTCCCTACTGAAATTGTAAAATAATTTCCCTAGTGGAATTGTACAATAATTTCCCTAGTGGAATTGTACAATAATTTCCCTAGTGGAATTGTAGAATAATTTCCCTAGTGGAATTGTGCAATAATTTCCCTATTGGAACTGTACATTAATTTCCCTAGTAGAATTTTACAATAATTTCCCTAGTGGAATTATACAACAATTTCCTTAGTGGAATTGTACAATAATTTCCCTAGTGGAATGGTACAAAAATTTCCCTAGTGGAAATGTACAATAATTTCCTTAGTGGAATTGTACAATAATTTCCCTAGTGGACTTGAACAATAATTTCCCTATTGGAATTGTATAATAATTTCTCTAGTGGAACTGAACAATAATTTCCCTAGTGGAATTGTACAATAATTTCCCTAGGGGAATTGTACAATAATTTCCCTAGTGGAATTGTACAATAATTTCCCTAGTGGAACTGTACAATAATTTCCCTAGTGAATTGTACAATAATTTCTTAGTGGAAATTGTACAATAATTTCTCTAGTGGAATTGTACAATAATTTCTCTAGTGAATTGTACAATAATTTACCTAGTGGAATTGTACAATAATTTCCCTAGTGAAATTGTACAATAATTTCTCTAGTGGAATTGTACAATAATTTTTCTAGTGGAATTGTACAATAATTTCTCTAGTGGAATTGTACAATAATTTCCCTAGTGGAATTGTACAATAATTTCCGTAGTGAAATTGTACAATAATTTCCAGTGAAATTGTACAATAATTTCCCTAGTGAAATTGTACAATAATTTAACTAGTGAAATTGTACAATAATTTCTGTAGCGAATTGTACAATAATTTAACTAGTCAAATTGTACAATAATTTAACTAGTTAAATTGTACAATAATTTAACTAGTCAAATTGTACAATAATTTAACTAGTGAAATTGTACAATAATTTAACTAGTGAAATTGTACAATAATTTAACTAGTGAAATTGTACAATAATTTAACTAGTGAAATTGTACAATAATTTCTCTAGTGCAATTGAACAATAATTTCTCTAGTGGAATTGTACAATAATTTCTCTAGTGGAATTGTACAATAATTTCCCTAGTGGAATTGTACAATAATTTTTCCAAGTGAAATTGTACAATAATTTCTCTAGTGGAATTGTACAATAATTTAACTAGTGAAATTGAACAATGATTTAACTAGTGGTACTGTACAATAATTTTCCTAGGGGAATTGTACAATAATTTCCCTAGTGAAATTGTACAATAATTTCCTAGTGAAATTGTACAATAATTTCCCTAGTGGAATTGTACAATAATTTCCCTAGTGAAATTGTACAATAGTTTCCCTAGTGAAATTGTACAATAATTTCCCTAGTGAAATTTTACAATAATTTCCCTAGTGGAATTGTACAATAATTTCCCTAGCGTAACTGAACAATAATTTTCCTAGTGGAATTGCACAATAATTTCCCTAGTGGAATTGTACAATAATTTCCCTAGTGGAATTGTACAATAATTTCCCTAGTGGAATTATACAACAATTTCCTTAGTGGAATTGTACAATAATTTCCCTAGTGGAATTGTACAAAAATTTCCCTAGTGGAAATGTACAATAATTTCCTTAGTGGAATTGTACAATAATTTCCCTAGTGGACTTGAACAATAATTTCCCTATTGGAACTGTATAATAATTTCTCTAGTGGAACTGAACAATAATTTCCCTAGTGGAATTGTACAATAATTTCCCTAGGGGAATTGTACAATAATTTCCCTAGTGGAATTGTACAATAATTTCCCTAGTGGAACTATACAATAATTTTCCTAGTGAAATTGTACAATAATTTCTTTAGTGGAATTGTACAATAATTTCTCTAGTGGAATTGTACAATAATTTCCCTAGTGGAATTGTACAATAATTTCCCAAAGTGAAACTGAATAATAATTTCCCTAGTGGAATTGTACAATAATTTCCCTAGTGGAATTGTGAAATAATTTCCCTAGTGGAACTGTTCAATAATTTCCCTAGTAGAATTTTACAATAGTTTCCCTAATGGAATTATGCAACAATTTCCTTA